ACCAACACCGAGAAATAAAAGGGCTTAAAGGAAAAAATTGACACTCCTGGGCCCGTTTAAACCGCATGTGTACGATAGAGTCGTTAATTCCGCAGCTCGGGGAGAGAATTCCATTTCTCCCTAAAAAATTCGAATAAAAAGCAAAGGAGTCATGCCGCTGACAAAGATGCTATGTATATTTAGATTAGATCCCCTCCAACCCATACTCGTTATCAATCTGCATTTCCAAGTAGTTTTCTCATATAGACAGAGTCGGGCCCACGTGTTCTTAGATCTTGTTCAACTTGATTCAGAAAAGAGATTTCCCGGCCGTCTTTTTCGGCTGGGCTCCATTCGGGGTGGGTGTCCAGCCCGTCCCGCTTTTCCTGATGAGGGAATAGAGTAAGGGGCGACCTTTTATTAAAACAAATAAGTAGGTGTAGGTAAGGACAGATATGGTTGTGTAATCCTCTACCGAATCTCTTGAAATGAATGCTATTTTGCTAAACCCTTTGCTTTTAAGGTAAATGGCATAAGGCAAAGCCTTTCCCTATCACGACCGCCTTCTCCTTCTTGCATTAGGATTTTGACTAAGATCGGATAAGATCACCAGCAGCGGTTGATGATATAACACCCACACCAGTTACTGATTAACTGACCCCAACACCGGCAACTAAAGCACCGCTTCCTTATATATGACCAGGAGCTCCTAGGCTTACAAAGTAAAGCAGTGACACAGAAGACCTCGTTCTTTTTTCTAAGGGCTGGTCTTTAAGCGTCAAAAGAAGATTATCCAAAAAGCGGGCGCAATATTTTCGAAATGTACGTTCGAATTTTGGAGCACAAAGTTATGGTTGTTTAAAGTTATTGAGCTCCAAAATCCAAACTTCATGAATTGTTTTTTCCATTTCGCATAACTTTTTAAGGACTACAATTTTTACTAGGAATGAAATTTCAAAACAGGAATTATTTTTGGATATACAGGATTTTGGGAATAGCTTACCTTCCCTTTTCAGTAATCCACATACATTTTGAAATTATGTCTATGATAAAAGTTGTATTCCTTAAAAATTTATGCGAAAAAAAATTTCATGCCTATTGGATTTTGGAGCACAAAGTTATGGTTGTTCAAAGTTTGACGAAATCGGAAAAAAGCTCGTTCGAGGTAGCAAACGACATTTTTTCGGGACGAAGGCGGGACCAAACCACCTTCGGAAGTCTTCGGCTTGTAAGATCTCAAAAATTTATGCGGAATAAAAAAAATCACGACGATCGGATATCCGAACACAAAGATACGTTCGTTTGAAGTTTCCACCTAGGTTTATAATTTTTTTTTTTTTTTAAAAAGACCTCATGGTGGGGGTGCGGTTTGAAACCAAACCGCCACGACCCTATGTGATTTGCAAAACCGCCCCTACCAGTGCGGTTTTCATTGAAAAACGCGCCCTCGGGTGGCGGTTTTTAGGGTACTATTTTTGGAAATTTTTTTAAACAATGCTATTTTTGGAAAAATCCCTCTATCGTGTACGAAATAGAAAGGTCCAATTTTGGATTTAAGTTAGATCACGGATACAAACAGTCGCCGTCCCAGCTAACAATGATCATATATGATCTTGCGGTTCAATAGTACAAACATGCATGTGATAGTTGTGATTATAGGTGTTAATCGGGCGGGTTCGGGCTGGGTTCAATCGGGTTCGGGTTCAAACGGGTTGCGGGTTCAACGGGTTCGAGTTCAATCGGGTTGCGGGTTCATCAGGTTTTGGGTTGTTCGGGTCAGCGCATCGAGTAACTTACTCATTACTCGTTACCAACTTACACATTTTATTACACTAATTTAAAATATTTTTCTCAACTTTTTAACCAATTTATTTCTACCTTGTATATATATACTTAATTTTTTGGAAAAAACTAGTCCAAATGTTAAATCAATTTGTATGACTTGAAAACTTGTTATGTAACCAATCATAATTGGTAAAGTACACTAGCTAATAGCAATGGTGATATCAATATTTGCAACCAAAAGACACCATTGATTGTTTATTTGATATTTTAGTATTATTTCAGTAGTAATTGGATTAAAGTATCTCATTTAGTATAACCATGCAAATCTGGTATTTGGCGTGTGGTATTTGGCAAAAGCAAAGTGATAAAAAGAGTTATTTCGAAATAACTCATTGCACAAATAACTTCGGGGGTCGTTTGGATGGATTGTTTGTTGAGGTGTGGTATTTCATAACAAATAACCTATTATTTGTCAATTAGGTATTTATGTTGTATTTGAATGATAATTGTGATAGAATATCTTGTTTGGTTGAAAAATGTATTTGTGATGGGTTATTTTATTTTAACAGGTTAATATACCATTCTACCCTCACCTTCTTTAAAGCAAAGAATCAAGCAGCCTACACCAATCTTTTCCTCTTTTTCTTGTATGAACACCTCTGCTTACCCTCACAACCGTCTCAACAATTACAAAATCATATACGAGATTGAGAAATGGTATCAAACCGCCAGCACCAAACCACCAATTACTTCTGCTTACCAGCACCAAACCAACATCAATATTACAACTCCAATTACCCACTGTTTTCCAGTTCCGCCAACCTCCTCTGTTTACCCAAATCAAGAACTTGTGAATTCCAAATCCACCGACGTCCTCTGTTTACCCAAACCCTGATCAAGAACTTGATTCCCAATTGCATGGATTCTTCTTCTTCTTCGATAACCCTAATTGACATCCATAAAGAAGTGTTCAATTCGAGACTCCAAGTTGCCGTCACCAAAGAAACCCCCTGATATCATCGCCTTCGACATTGGTAGGTCTGGAAGGAAAGATGAGAGGATTTTGGTACACGCAAGAGGGAAATAAAAACCCCCAATTTTCGTTGTTGTTGATGATGGGGAAAAATGCAAATCTCCGATGGAAAGATGAAGAAATCAGTTCAACGCCGGGGAGAAAAAGAGAAAAGAGGAAGCAGACGGAGCTTCCACGGCGATAAGGGAACTGGCCATAGCACTGCTTAGCTCAAATCGTCACTGTCTCTGTTCACCTCCGAAGTGCTAAGCTCAAATCAAAACCATTTTGTTAGAAAAAAAGAACGCAATGGAGGGAAAAAAATCGGAGCTTTTCATAGGAAGCTCCGTCTGCTCTAGAAAAAGAAATAGAAGAAGAGGATGCCGACGATTGTAGTTCAGAAAGAAGAATTGGAAAAAGAAAGAGAAAGAGTCAGGAGCGCAGGGAAGAAGACGAAGAGAGTGGTGAAGAAGTAGAAAAGGGGCAAAGTGGGGAGAGGGATAACGCGGAACGTGTTATTTGTAAATAACACCTCTCCAGGTGTTATTTTAAATAACCCATTTTCGCGTTAATTGTAAATACCACGCGCCAGATTAACTTGTGCTATTTTTTTTCTACCAAACGTGTTATTTCGGGCCAAATAACTCACAACGAGTTATTTAAACCCAAATAACTCATTCTAATAACCCATCCAAACGACCCCTCGGTAAACTGTTGCCAAACGAGTTATTTGTAAAATTGTTCGAATTATCCTAAAAATTGAACCGTTAAAGATTAACTATAAAATTTAGTAAAATTATTGTGACTTCAATCATAACTTACTCAATAACATATGTCCTATACACTTAGTCTTACCATCAATCGACAATATTAGGTTAGTATATGTTGTTGATTGTATACCCTAAACCATCAATACATTATACACTAACCACATACCCTATACCCTAACCATATGTCCTTATGAGTTGTGATTTTGCTAGTATAGTTAATTTAAAAGTGAAATTCATACTTTGATTTTCAAAATATAGATAAAAAGTGATATTTGCTAATTGCTATACCTTCCTAAACACACATATCACATAGACATTGCTAATTAAATACTAGTTACTTACTAGATAACACTTAGATTTTAGGGTTCGGTGTATGAATTGGTTTGTTGAACAATGTTGAAATTTGTTAATGTGCTCAGTTTAAATTAATATTCAACTCACAACAATATCATGTTTGATTCAACTAGCACATCATATGCTTGATACCACCTTCAACGCATTAACTTTAGTTATGTGCTTAGGTGTGTTCAAACGGATTGAATACCAAATACCATGATAACCATATTAACCGGTAGCATTCAGTTAATTTGATTTGGTTAATTTGGATATTTGGTTTGGTTAATTTTTTTTGCTTATTTGCGTCAAAATTAAATGGGTCTGCCTATTTATTAAACCAAAACATTTTGGACATCTACTAGACTTTAGGATTACGTACAATACCATGACAATCACCTCAAACTATATATAGTTTAAGTGTTTTGTAGGAGAGCTTTAATTTCTTGATGAGTGGTATGAGTATGTATTTAATATTTATGTTAAGGGTTTGTTGTAAGCTAACTATATTAGGTGCATAGATGATGAATGATTTATTAACTCGAATGATGATGATAATCATGGTTATGTTATTTGGTTAATCCGATTATCCAATTAACCAAAGCAATTAAACTTTGGTTTGGTTAATTTGGTTTTCGTGTTAATATGGACGGTTTGGTTAAGACATTTTATTCCACGGTTAATGAAATATAAACTTAATTGGTTTGATTATTACCATAGTAACCATTTGAACACCCCTAATGTGCTTGCCTATAATGATCCACAAAATCAAAAAGAGAAAAATACAACAATCGTTTAGGTAATTACAACTATTTTACAATGTGAGATTTACTTTTAACAAAAAGAAAAAGGTTTCCTAAATTTTAAGAGGGAAATCTCAAATCTCTATATCCTTTCATTTGGCTCCAAAACTAACCCAAGAAAGAAAAATTTCCCTCCGTTTTTTCACAAAAAAGTTTTCCTTCCCTCATTTTTACCATAAATATAGTACAATGAAAACCCATTTCATTTTGGCTCCAAACATACCCCATCCCCCGCCTTTTATTCCAAAAATATTTGCCTTCCCCCATTAGTTTCCCACATTTATACTGGGAGAAAATTCCTCCCGCCTAGATCCAGAAAATAACTGAAAGTCACTAGCTACTTATCTTTTGTGTTCTTTATTCTTCGGAAAAAGATGGAGCGCCAAATCCACCACCACCGCCCACTCCCGCTGCTTCTCCGTCCTTGATGCTTCCTCATCCTTGTCCAAACCTTTCCCATCTCTTTCGTTGTGGAGACTGAAAGCCCTTATCTCTTCTCCCATCTATCATTCGTTTTGTGAACTCCCAACCCCTTCGACGACTTCCACAGTTCCACTTATCGATTCACCAATCCCTAACCTAATCTGTCAACCAAACCTCAAACCTCGCAAGCTCAGGAGGTACCATGTCCTTCTCCGTCTTACTTATTTCCTCTGTTGTTTCGTCGATTTCATGTAATTTGGGATATGAGGTGTTTCCAGGGTTTGAAATCTAACACATTAGGGATTTTTCAGATTTGACCGAATTCAACCTTCCTTTATTCAAAATGTACTTGCTTTGGATTATTTATGGGGATTTCTCACACCTTTGGGAGCTCAATTTGTGCTTCTTTGCCTGATTGGTTGTTGAATACGAAAATTGGGGCTGGTCGAAACTAACTGAAATGGTCTGTCTCTTTATTTCTTTGGGGCGATTGAGGTCGACGACCCCCAAAGAGATCCAATGAAACCTGCTTCGTACATCTCTTTCTGGGCGACAGGATGATTGGAACAAAACGACGCCAATGGCTTTCCCAAAAGTAAAACGATCTAATGAAAATCTAATTCATTAAATATAATTGAAATCAAAACTGGCTATGGTGGAGATTTGATAGGCGATGAAGCGACAGTTGGAGATGCTGCAAATGGAGAATCTGTCGCTTGTGTATGGTGGAAATTTGAACGGGTCTGCTTCAATTTGCAGCCACCGGAATTCATTTCATCTTCTCGATGTTGTGTGATGACTTCTACGATTTTCTCACTATATTTCCATTCCATGTTTTATTTTTGTCTTGGTCAATACTCAATATTCGAGTATTCATCATAACTTTTTTCTTCTTTTTTGTTGTTGCAGGATCTTGTATATTTTTCTTTTGAGCATAAGGAGAGTAAGAACGAGTTCAAGTGGAGGTGAATGAAGGAATAGCATCAATAGCTTTGTTACTTAATCGGGGATCTCTAGACATTTTAATAGTCCTATTACAATTTACAACTACAATTTACAATTTAAAAGGTGTACCATAATATATATAGGTAAACACTCATATTCGATTTAAAACAAAAATTTAGGATAACTACTCCACAAACATTCATGTGTGAAATGAAATGGTGTCAGATACAACTTCAATATATTTGTACAGAATTTGCAACACCAATCGTTTAACTAACTAGAACACCAAATTTTCAATACATTGTGAGCAATTGATAATTTGCAAGATGAATATATCGTTCAAGTGAACTTCATGTTTTAATTTTTTTAATTATATGAAAAGTACTTCATTTCAAGTAAACTTTAGATTTTGAACATCACTTACTGAAATGAATTTTTTTTGTCTTGCCTAAGTTTAGAATAAAAAAATTCATTTTGATAGACTATATGATTTATGTACAGTAATTATTTGGGTTAATCGGGCGGGTTTGGGTTAGTCGGGTTTGGATCAATCGGGTTGCGGGTTAGTCCGATTTGGGTTCAATCGAGTTGCGGGTCAATCGGGTTCGGGTTTAATAGGGTTCTGGGTTAGTCGGGTTCTGGTTGATCGGGTTACGGATCGGGCGGGTTACAGATCATTGACTTTTAGTCAATTCGGATTGCGAACGGGTTGCGGGTCGGATTGAATGAACGGGTTACTCGGGTCGGGTTCTTTTTTTATACCTATAGTTGTGATAGTAGAAGGAACATTGGAGCTGATCTCTTGATGCAGTTAGGACTCGAAGAGGAAGATGACTGCAGAGAAGAAATGGAAACGTTGTCGTTCTATTACTAGCTAGTAGAAGTGTTGTATGTAATGAAAACGACACAGTTTGTGTTAGTAGAAGTTAGCCTTTAATCTACAATATTAGTGTGTCATAGTACAACCATGTGATCATGTGATACAATCCGAGTATGATGCTCACAACATCCTTTATGAGATAGTATTCATAATTCGTCTAATCGTCAAATTGCATGTTGGACGTTCTACGATTGTTATATGAAAGCAATGGTAGTTTGAGTGCCATGTTTCACGGTCGTGGGGTTACAGTTTTCGCTTGGCTATTGGAGCATCCACATTAATTTACCATATTGAATTGCAAAGGGACAAAAGTAGGGATGAAAATGGGTAGGGTCGGGTGCGAGTTTACCCTATACCAATTCCTAACTCGTCGGGTTGAGCTTTCTAAAATACCCGATCAAGTAACCACCGGGTATGAAAATAATATAACCATACCCTACCCACCAGGTAACCACGGGTATTCGGGTAACCAGTGGTGGAGGCAGGATTTGAAACAGCCCCTGTCCTTTTTTTTTATAAAAATATAATTAAATTAATAATATCTAAATAATTTATTTTCATATATAAAAGATAACAACTAATACAATCAGTATTTTTATAAACAACCATGACGATTTTTCATACTCTGAAAGAAACACAAAATGCATTCATTATCTACACTATTAAGTAAGTCCTTTTCAATGGATCTCACTAAACAACCATTAGCAAATTCGCCGTGAATTCGACCTCGAAGTTCGTTCTTGATATAGCTCAAAGTTGATAATCTACACTTGCCGTCAAAACTAGTGGAATTTGCGCTGACACTAGACTGCTTCAAGATTGCTGGCAAATAATCGAATAGCCATATGAAAAAAAGAAATCTATTCCAATTGAGATTTCGTTTGTAGTATAATAAATTAATCTAATGTAATTTATAATCAAGTAATGAGTTGTGATATAGTGACAAAATACGTTGTTGTATTGGTGTTGTTTTTCATCCTTAGTATAAACACATACGAAGTATTTTTGTGCCTCCCAAAATTTACCCATGTCCCGGGACAATGCCAAACATGGCTGCCTCCGCCTATGCGGGTAACCATGGGTACGAATCCTAAAATATGAGCTTATACACATATATGCACATACATACTATTGTCCATTAAAAATTCTCAATACTTGTAACTGTTATAGTTTAAAAAATCTACACAATAAAAAGAGTAAACACATAATAATTGTTCTTGCTTCTACAATCCACACATAAACAAAAACAACAAATACAATATTAGAACCAGACTACATCAAATGCTCACTGCTTAACTTATGCTTCATGACATCCATCAAGGCATCATTAGTAGAACAATTATCCAAGGTAATCGTAGATATCTTTGTGTCAATATCCCAAGCAAGTAAAGTTTCAAGAAGAGCCTGAGCAAGCACCTCACTTGTGTGTGGGCAAGGAAAATCGATTGCTAGGTTGGTTAGCGCTAGGGAAATTGACCATTTGATTAGCAGGGCGGGTATAACAGGGCGGGTATTATCGATTACCATTACCATACCCTTTATTTTGAAACTCGGTATTACCCGTACCCGCCCCTTAACCCGTCAAAGCGGGTAATTATCCTCGTTACCCGGTTACGGTCGGGCAGGTTACCCATGATTACGGGTTGGATTGACATCCCTAAACATAAGAATGGAAATGCAATTGCATTGATGGAAATTCCAATTGCAATAATGCAAGCTACCATTTCTTGCAAATTTATTTGCAATTTCACGTATGCATCCCTAGATTATTTATAACTTTATATATGTATATAATAATAAATATATAATTCTTTTATTTTATTAAAATAATAAATGTGCCCACATATGCAATTGTAAGTTAATTGTATTATGTAGGTAAATAAAAGTAATATAAGTTGGATTGCAAAAAATAAAATAAAAATTGAGGTGGCAATAAAGAGAACAAATGCTATTGGTTTTGCAATTGAATTGATATGCATGCTCTTCCATGCATCCAGTATTATTTGCTATATTCAAACAGGTTTGAGGTTGAATCATATAATTTTTTAATCTATTATTTTAGTGCAAAAAAAAAAGATATATATTGGTTGTTCAAAACAAAACAAAAATTAACTTAGGAATTGTTCATTCCAAAGGTCTTTATTTTCTTTGGGTTTACTTTTCTATCCCAAAAATTAAATTTAGTTCATATAGACATTTTGGACGCTGCGATTGAAATAAATTTCGGGAATGAAATTTGGAATTGGTACAAATGACTATATGAATCACTTAAAAAATAAATGTATTCATTCTGTAGTGAATTTCTTACAAGTTCAATTCATATTGACTGTTGGTTCATTTAAAATATATGATTAGAGGAATTAAATGTGAAACAATTTGGCATAAATTGATACCAACTCCTCAAAATTTGGTAACTTCAATTTTATTAACACCCACTTTTGAATCATTTTCTTATTGAGTAAATTGCAAGATTGGTCACTAGGATTATAAAAAACGTTCATGTTTGGTCCTAGAAATATTTAATTCCACTCGTAGTCACTAGATTTAGTAAAATCGTCCAAATTTGGTCACTCTCCATTAGTCTCCGTCCGTCTCCATTAGTGAAGACCGTTATATGCTGACGTGGCAAATGGAATCGCTTAGTCAGCCTAATTTAACCCGAAAATGATAAAACCCAACCTGCCACGTCAATTAAACTCGCCATGTCATCTAACTCAGGCCAACCCAAGCTTTGAACCAGCCCGACCCATGAACTAACCTACTCAAACAAAATAGTGTCTATCCCATTTTCCTTTCAGATCTGAAAACAATCTTCTCTCTGGTTCTCCATTTTTCTTTCGCTCCCTTCGACAACTAGCTCCGGATGGCACTTCACCTGGTCACCACAATAGTCGCCGCCATGGAGAATAAATGATTGTTGTTATGGTGAAGCGACAGAGCATAACCATCGCCTACTGAGAGACAAAGAGGGGGTTTAATGTTCATATAGAAAGGAAGCTAAGGAAAAGAGATGAGGAGGCAGGGGAGGCTTCTGTTATGTTATAATGAATGAGGGGCAGTGGAAAACTAGGGGGAGGGGAACCTTGTTGCAAAGGGATATGGGGAAAAGATTCAAAGAAAGGAGAAGAAGCAGAGAGGAGAATAACAAAAGGGAAGGGCTTTGGGACAGGGACCAAAAGGTACTTTCGCAGTCGTCGTTTCCTTCATTTTTCTCCGACAGAGGCCCAAATCTGATAGCAACAGAGTCCCTGAATCATTTTCCCTCTGTTTTCCCTGTTGGGAGGGCAGAACTCCTCGAATCCCTCCAGCAAAGAGGAGAAAAATAGGGTGGTGAGAGGCGGCAAGCTCCAACTCCTCGATCTGGTTCCATACGGGAGTTCTTCATCTGGATTTCCGCCGCCGTTGGATGAATCTAGCGATGAAGAAGGAGGGAGTGAGATCGTTGATGCAGATTCAGGGAAGAGGAATAGAGTACCAGGTGGCGATGATTTTGATGTATGCCAATCAAGTGAAGGGGAGGCCGAAACATGCATCTCATATGGGTGGAGAAGAAAGAGGAGAAGATGGACAGATGAGGAAGAAAGAGGAGAAAATCGAGAAGAAGCTTTGCATCAATGAGGGTTTTTCTTTTTGCTCTCTACATCAGAGAGGGGTTTAGAGAGGTTGAGGAAGATGGAGAGATGAGAATCCAAGTTGGGTTTTTCTTTTCATTTTCTTATTTTTTTATTTTTTTAAATGATTAATAATAATATGACATGTCGGATTTAAATGACATGTCAGGTCAGACTTTATGACGTGGTGGGTTGAAATGGGGTGAATCAACTTTTCTGTTAGCCATGTCAGCAATTAACTGACGGTGTTAAGGGAAACTAACGGAGAGTGACCAAACTTGAATCGTTTTACTAAATCTAGTGATCATAAGTGGAATTAAATATTTCTAGTGATCAAACATGAACGTTTTCTGTAATCCCAGTGACCAATCTTGCAATTAATCCTTTTCTTATCTGAATTGCTATTCGTCGCCCTAAAATTCAAATTTTATCGCCCTAAAACGAAACAAATTGACATATTTACCCTCAACCCAATCTCAATTCTAGCTCTAACCAAATAATCCCTTTCCCAACCCACGTCCGCCGCCCTCACCGGAAAAAG